ATATATACCAGCCCAATCAAAAAGTGAAGGAGAACCAAGAGCAGTAAAACGCGCTAGTGAACAAAAAGATAAAAGAGCACGAGCATCTGCAATAGAGCGGAGAAAATGTCGAATATTCACGTCAATAGGCAGGGAGTTAAAAGTCAACAAGCATGGAGCAGAACAAAATGTTGAAAGTAGAGTAGTGGGTTGTAAAGACGAATGAGCATCTTTTGCCAGAGAATCTGCATGTATATTGTAGATATCATCGCCATGAGCAGGAACTTTAATCAAATCGACATTAAGATTACGATCCATGATAAGTTGTCAAATAGAAAGCCAAAGAAGATGATTAGGTTCTCGGAGCAACTTCGGTGAGAAAGGAGCATCAACAAACCGTGACCATAGTGAAATTAACTGACTACAATCAGTATAAATAGAGATTGATGAATCACGGAAAAGGGCATTCAATCCTAATAGAACAGCAGAAATTTCAGAACGCAACGCGGAAGGAAAATAAGAAGGGAGATGCATGGAAGAAGATTCCAGAACAAGTCCATCATCATCAAGAGCAATCCAAGCAGAAGTCATGGAAGAAGGCGAAGAATCATTGGCAGGATGGAACGAACCATCAGTGTATAAAGATTGCACTGAAAGTGGTAAAATGGTGTCTTCAATTCTATCGATACTATCCTTAAAAAGAGGAGAAAGAGCGGGAGACGCGTTCGAAAAATGAACGAGAGCCAAGGAGGTTGCATAACTCCATGAAGTAGATAGAGTAATGGGAAGATAAGCCGCGAAAACTTTGGCATTTCTAGTAGGATAGCCCACAGTATCCGATAGGATTACATTAAAAAAACATTTTTCGCTATTACAGCGTTGTCTGATGGCAGATTTCATGGATAAGGCGGGAATGTTAAGAGCACAACCGGGACAAGGGTAATAGGATCATTCATCAGCCAAGGTAGATACAGGAAGCCAATGAGACATAATAGCCGAGTTTTGTTTCTTATAAGTGATACACACACGACCAACAGATAAAGTTTGAGTAGCAGAGTCAAGAGTAATAGCCCATTGAGGATAAAAAGAATAATCTTTAACC